AATTAATTGAGAGACGTCCCTCGTATTATAGAACTAAGCCAGGACACGGCAGTGATCCAGAAAGCCCCAGCTGCAGCTTCCGTTCAGTTTGGCGGGTTTGGCTCCCAATGAGTCAGTGTCTGTTGCACCTGCTGTCACGCGGAGTGGGATAAAGCGGAATGTGCTTGCCATGGTTTATTGCAAGGGGAGATCCCCGTGTCAGGGAATTCAGGGCAGTTCTGTATGAGCTTCACCTGTTTGCCATGACAATACACACTGCAGGGATAATCCCTGTCTGCAATGCAGCCGCCTCTGGGGTGGGACTCACTCACAGTTTAACAGCCCACAGCAACCCAGCACAAGAGATCAGTGCAAGGGGTCATTGCTGGTTTGCAGGGTGCACACAAGAGTGATGTTGGAAGTGTCCACCATCTTGTTACTGGGACAATCTACCTAGCACTAATGAAGGTGGCACATCTCTATGATACTAGGAAGTTAGTAAATCTAGCAGCGAAGGCGTGTCTCCGTCTGCCGCTTAGCCACTGATTTGAAGAGTTAGAGACATTGGTGGAGGGAGAACAATGGCCGTTTTTAAGCAACCAGGGTTACAGTGGAGGGGAGATCTCAGAAACACGAACGGCCCCATCCGGACACACGGAGGCTTGCTGGAGAGAGGAAAGAATGAAAGGAGATAATTCAACAAGAGCACGACAGCCGTACAAGAGCTCTTCTGCAACAAGAACCTGCAGACAAAGCGAAGGAAGTGAAAAGATCAGCTAGAGGAGACACAAGAGAATGGATGGAAAATCAAGTGAGAGAAGGGATTCTAAAGCCCTTTTCTAGTACCTAAACATCACAGGTCTCGAACGTTTGTGGCATTGTGAAGGCCCGAGATGGTACAATGTTAACCCCAGAGGAAGGACAGAGAGTCCGTTGGGTTGTGCTCAGCCAGCCAGAACCGCTATCACACACCCAGAGATGGGGAGAACTAGAAACTTACCTATGTCCCTAGAAGCAATCACCTTTGAGGAAGTAACTAAGGCCATAAACCAATTGAAGGGTGGTAAAGCACCAGGCTATGTGAGATGGATGGTGAACGGTAAAGAGCTACAGAGGAGGTGGCAGGGAATGCCACGGGCAGGGTGTGCAGGACAGTTTGGGATAAGGAGATCTGTCCCATGGACTGGAGAAGATGTGTCATCGGGGGACCAGCTTATTGGTGACAGCTGGAGAGGGGGGAGCCTCCTGTCTGGACCCGGAGAAGGTCATTTTTAATAGGATGAAAACTGCTGGTGGTGGAGAACAGGCTGGATTTTGTTCCGGTCGGTTGTGTTCAGAGCAGATTTCCCCCTTGAGGAGACCCGGGGAGAGGCTTAGAATCTCAGCAGAAGATGGTTTTTAACTTCCTTGATAAACACAGATAAACCCTCTGGAAGATCCTGAGGGCTTGCCTACACACACAGCGCTGTGTAGGAGAACTTCTCCCGTCAGCAGAGGTCCTGGGAGAAGCTGCTGTCTGCCCCAGGACTGCCTCACTCAGGGGTGTGGATTTTCAGGGCTGAGCAACGTACTTACACTGATGTAAGGCTGTAGTGTAGACCAGTGCTTCTCAAAGCCGGTCCGCCGCTTGTTCAGGGAAAGCCCCTGGCGGTCTGGGACGGTTTGTTTACCTGCCACGTCCGCAGGTTCGGCCAATGGCGGCTTCCACTGGCCGCGGTTCGCCACTCCAGGCCAATGGGGGCTGCGGGAAGGGCGGCCAGCACATCCCTCGGCCCACGCCGCTTCCCGCAGCCCCCATTGGCGTGGAGCAGTGAACCGCGGCCAGTGGGAGCTGCGATCGGCCGAACCTGCGGGCGCGGCAGGTAAACAAACCATCCCAGACTTCCAGGGGCTTTCCCTGAACAAGTGGCGGCCCGACTTTGAGAAGCACTGGTGTAGACCAAGTGGGAGACGCTGTGAAATCCCGGCAAAGATCACTAATTTGATCAAAGCTTTGATGAGCCTGCATCAGGACAGAGCAGAGACACAGAATGGTTAAAGATTGTTACTGCTCTGAGGCAAGGGGGCTTCTCTTCTGCACGGTCACAGACTGTGACAAGAAGGGTGATGGCTGCTGGCCAGACCTCTGGTATCATTTGGGCTGGAGATAAGCTGCGGGACTTGGATTTTGCAGATGACATAGTCATCCTGGATACCAGCTTGGATGGAATTAAAAGATTCTTTCTGAGCAAAAAGCAGAAGCTGCCCCAGTGGGACTCCATGTCAGTACATGGAAGACCAAGACCATGGAACAAGAGAATGCTGTCCGTGCTGGCCGATGTGTGATTGATGGAGAAGAGTACGGAAGAGTTGATGACTTTGTCTATCTTGGAAGTACAATATCTGCTAACAGCAGCTCACTACAGCGAAGGCAAGAATCGGCAAAGCCTGTGGATCATTCTCCCACTTGTCAAACGTCTGGAAGAGGAAGAAGATCCATCTACACGCTAAAATGAGATCATACAATGCTCCTGTTCTCCCAGCACTACTGTACACCTCCAAAAGGTGGCTGAGGGTCCAAGTGCACAGCAGGAGGCTGGGTGCACTCCACCAGTGTTGTCTAAGAAGAATCGTGAGAATGAGCTGGAGAGATTGTGTAGCCAACGTAGAAGACAGAGATGGTGATGGTGGTTTGGCCATGTCATCCGGCTTCCCTGTGGCACAATCACAAGGTCCGTCTTAGATTGGATCCCACCTGGAGGGAAGAGAAGGTGCGGAGGACACGGAACAGCCTATTGCAGTGAGATCGGAAAGGAGACCGCCCGCATGGAGACAGCTCACAATGGAGTCAGACATCGGTCACCGAGCCAGCCAGGGGGAAACGGGTTGCCTCGTGCGCCTAGGCGCAGGAGGTGAAGTCTCAGTGGGTCTGAGACTACCAGACCTAGCAAGAGGATCACTGTGGGCAAAGCCAGAACGCCAGTCCCTGGGCCCCCAAGCACTTGGTGCTCTGTGACATTCCCTCAAGAGCGGAGACCCAGGAGGTCTGCGTTTGGACACACGGACCTTTCGAGGCTGATCTCCCACGGTCACTAACCCTGCAGCCCCACAGATCCTACCACCCCTGCTTCCCCAAACCTCTCAGCATGCCTAGATCCTCCAGCCCCCTTTGCTTCCTGGGGCAGGTTGTTTTCTGAGAGCCGTGATCCGGCGTTTGTGTCATCAGAGCGCAAACCCCTCCACCTGCTCCATGTCCTTGCATACCCTGAGTCTTGGCCCCTCACTCTGCACCCACCTGCCCTGTTCTCTCCTCTCTGCTCACTGCCCGGGCCCAGGCTGGCCGGCAGGGTCGGCATTTGGCCGCAGCTTGATGGGGGCAGCACTCGCAGCCCATCTGTCAGCCCCCTCAGGGAAGGAGGTTCCATTTATTGCCTGCCCTGGAGGCAGCCCAGCCCCTGGGATCAGGCCATGGGTCTCTGCTGCTGGGGAGGGGCAGGGTGACGCTGACAGGCTGGAGGCCAACCCAGCCAGCCCAGCCTCGCCCCTGCCCTAGCAGGCCCTGCCCAAGGGCAGCTGCAGGCTGGGGAGCTCAATCCTGTGGCCTGTTCACACCCCGTCTCTGCGAGGCTGCAGCAAAGGGCCCAGCTGGTGCCAAGAGCCGTGGGATCTCACAAAGCGGCTGCTCTCCACTGACCTCCGGGTGACTCGCCTGCGCTGGGCCCCGGGTCAGCTCTGCAAAACCCACCAGCCCAGCTGAGCACGGAGGCCAAGGAGACAGAGCCCCAGGGCGGGACTCGCTCGGGCATATGGGCATCACCCAGCGGCTCGCCAACCTCCACCTGCTCATAGGACAGAGGCTCATAGGACATTCACCCAGCCTGGCCGGTGCCCCTCACTCCTGAACCGCAGATGGGGAAACGGAGGCGCGGGGCGGCGATGTGACTTGCACAAGCTCACACCATAAGTCAGTGACAGAACCAGGATTAGACCCTGCGAGTCCCGGCTTGCAGCCCCCTATGATAACCCTGGACGACCCTGCTCCGAGCCGGAGCCTGCGTGTCCTGCCAGCAGCGATGACCTCGCTGCCACAGCAGAACCTTGCTCCTGAATGGGCAGCATCTTACCGGCTGGGCCAGTGAGCCCAGCACCCTGCTAGCCCTGGCTGAGTCAGCGCTGCAGGCTACGCCCAGCAGATGTGGATCAGCGCCTCGCAAGCGAGGTTCGGGATCTGTCCAGGTCACTTGCTTTGGGGCTGCCCCATCCAATCAGCCAGAAGAACCCCATTGAAGGCGCTCTGTGGAGCCCCAGGTGTGCATCTCCCTGCCCCTCCCAGGGCTGGCGAGCCCGGCGTGCCAGGCAAGCTCGGAGAGGCCCCTGGAGCGGCCTTGCCTGGGGGCCGAGTCCTTCAGATGCGGAGACCCGAAGTGCCACCTTCAGAGCCTGGCTCCTGCCCCCATCAGAAGGAGAGCCCCGAGCTCCTGCCAGGCGCCCAGCTCTGCCCTCCGGGGGCTGCTTTCAAACTAACTTTCTCCCTTGGCCAACTGGAGCAACCCCCCCCTTCCCAGGAGCCAGAGCTGGGCTGTGCCCTGAGCCCCCTCCCCCCCAGCCGGCTTGGCAGGCAGGGAGAACCGCTCTGCCAGGCTGGGCAGAGGGGAGCCCCTGCCGAATTGCGGGGGGCAGCGCTCCCGGGGCCTGGCTCACTTCGGGCCAATGGCGGAACCGGACCAAACTTTCGCAGCTCGCCCCAGCGGCAGCCGCGTTCGCGGAGCCCGGCCGCAGACAATGCCCCGCGGGACGCCCCGAGCGGCCTCTGGACTCAGCCCGGCACCAGGGGAGGGGGGCGGGAGCCAATAGCCCCCCCAGGGGAGCTGCTCCCCGCCGAGTCCAGGGGAGCCTGCGGCGCCGCCCCCCGCGCAAGGACCCCGAGCGCTTCCCCCTGAAACGCGCTCGGGCGCAAAGTAGCCGGGGCCCTGGGGCGGCGAGCCGGGGGGTCCCCCAGGAAGTTCGCCTCTCGCTGCCCGGGTAACAAAGAAGCCACCTACTCTGCTGGGCCATGCTGATGACAGTCTCGGTGGTGGCGTGGTACTCGTCCTCCTCCAGGTACTCGTCCTGCGGGAAGGCGTCCCCCTGGAAGTCGTGCAAGTCCAGGAGCTGCTGCAGCGGGGGCGCCTTGGGCAGCAGCTGGTTCACCACCTCCCGGGTGATGTTGGGCGCCTCCTTGAGCCGCAGCTTGCTCAGGATCTGCGACTTGATGCTCTCCAGCCTCATCTCCTTGCTGTGCTTCCGCCACAGGCAGACGGGGCAGCCCGGCTCCTCCGCCTCGGGCCCCGGGGGGGGCTGCCCGCCGCCAGCCCCTGTCTCCACCACCTCCCCCGGGGCCAGCGCCACGGCCAGCGCCAGGGCGCACAGGAAGAGCGGGGACCTGCGCACCGACATGGCTGGACGGCCGGTTCCCCGCCTGCCTCCCCCCGCCTCTGGACTTGGGGCTCGGGCGGCTGGGGGGGGGGCTGCGATGGGGGCAGAGGTTCTGCGGGGCCGGCTGGGTGGGAGCCGGTAACTAGGGGTGGTGGGCGGGGGGGGGGGAGGCGAGAACGACTCGGGGTTTTATATCCCAACTGAACTGTGTCGTCAAAAGCCTTGATTGGCTGGGGACGCAACAAAAGAGCCTCTGGCGAAAGGCTGTCACCGGAGGGGAGCGAGCCGCGCGAGGGGGGCCCCGCTCCGCGCCCGGCCCGGGGGAGGGGGCGGCCCCGGCAGCCCCTTAAAGAAACACGGACCCCCGGGGCAGGGCAGGGCAGGGCTGGGGGAGCTGCTGCCTGGACCCGCCCCGGGGAACTTCTGGAGCCGGGAGCGCGAGCCCGTGTCTGGGGGAACCCAAAGCAGCGAGTGTCTCCCCGCGGCCCCGGCTGAGCCCCCCGCACATCCCCCCGGGGGGGGGTCCGTGCCCAGCTTCCGGCCGGCTCCTGTCCCCGGCCGGGGCTGCCCAGCTGTCACCCCCCCGGCCGGCGCCTCCGCTGCCCTGCGCTCACCGGCGCAGCGTCCGGCTTGGCACCTGGGCGCTGCCCGGCCCGGGTCCCACCGCTCCGGCCATTCCCCGCCTCTGCGCCGGTGCCCCCCGCACTCCCGCTGCCAGCCAGGGGGCCGGGAAGCGCCCCTCGCCTTGCTCCGCTGCCCACGGGCGGAGCCGGCCACGTGGGACGGAGCCGCTGTCACGGGTGACAGGCCCGGGGCGAGGCGAGGCGGAGGGGCCCAAAGTGCAACTAGCGAATCATCCAGTGAAAATCCCCAAGTCTCCCTGTCCTGCTCTTTTCTAAAAGGAGGGAGAGAGAGAGAGAGAGATGGGTGTGTGTGTGTGTGGGGGGGTGATAGATAGATAGAGGGTGTGTGTGGGGATAGATAGATAGAGGGTGTGTGGGGGGATAGATAGATATATAGAGGATGTGTGGGGATGGATAGATAGATAGAGGGGGTGTGGGGATAGATAGATAGATA